ATGAGGGCCGTACGCGTCGAAGTGATAGGGCCGGAAAAACACGTACTAGAAATGCGTACGGCCCTACTAGAAACTCGATGCGAGTTAATGACAAAACAATTTTGTCGCTGGAAAATTTTGTTCTTTTCAAAATGAGTGTTGAAAGTGAACATGCTGAGAGCGAAGTTTACTATCCAGGCGAACTGACCGATGTAGAACCACTTCAGTCGCCAACTCACCCCGGAAGCACAGAAAGAAAGTCAACAGTCCTCACAAATGAAAAAGTTCACAAATTTCTCAGAAGCCAACAACAAGCAAACAGGCGGTCAAGAAAACAACTTTTCTGGATGAATTGTCCGATAACTAACCTTCGGAATAAGCAAACAGTCTTGAGGCGAAACTTCTTTCAGTGGAAAGCATCAACGAATTCGTCGTGGGTCAAAAGCAAGAAAATCGGCAAGTCGCGAAGAAAACAAAGTACGACATAATTTTTTTCTTCGAGTGTCCAGAGTTGGGAGAAGAGAAATCACAAACATATACCTTTTGTACAGTAGGATAAATTGCTCTGCAGTTTCTACATCAGTGTTGTTTGAGGAGACAAAACCGAGTACGAACACAAGTTCATTACCGTACAGTTCATCCAGGTAATAAAACTCGCTTGAATTTCCACTGCACAGCAAAGCCAGCAAAGTCAGGAAACCCAGGTTCTGTTTGCTGGAGCCAACATCGGTGTCATTAATATTCAGTTGCTGGTTCTCCCTTGTTCAAGAGAATCCAAGAGGTCGACAAATAGCTTGAAACGACGCCGACATTTTCTTGAGTCTTCAGATGAAGATTTGTGAACAATTTCAGTGAAGCGTGAAGCGAACTTTTGTCACTCGCTAAGTTTTTGATGGTTTTGTCATATTTTTGACAGCTTTATGTCAACTTTCTGTTGGCTTTTTAGCATGAATTGTAATTGTGGACTTCATTATAAAAACAAATATGAGAAAATGAGTCGTATTTTTCGATGAATTGTGAGTTTCTTGTTCGACGCGAAGAAATAAATGACACTGAGTTTTTATTGTAGAATCTTTTCTGCGGTTTTTCCGCACGGCCGTCTGATGTTATGTAATCGCGTGCTATTTAGGTTTAAGTGTTAAGTGGTCATATGATAAAATGCTTATTGACTGAGTAAGGTCGGGCCGGACGGGAAAGTATTTGTCTCTCGGTCAGGACGCACGGACCTCGCTGCACTCGGTCCGTACATACGTCCTGACCTCGAGCCAAATATTTTCCCGTCCGGCCCTCCCACGCAGTCAATAAGTGCATATTATAGCGTCGAGCATACGGCTAGTGCTGTTTTTGTTGCTTTTTAGCCAGTTTTGCCGTTTAGAGGAGGAATAATTTTATACCGTTTAGTCAAAAACATATAATTGCATCGTAGTTAAAAAATTTCTACACAAAAATAATGATATTCTTTTCAAAATCTCAGCCTCAGGTTTATTATTAAAATATTCTTACAATTTCGTAAATTTCAGCCTCGATATTCTTATGAAACATATTCTTATGTGTGAGTGTATTGCATGGTATTGTAAAATTCTATCATGGATTTTTTCACCAGCCACTCGACAGTCACAGGGATTGACTTTTGCATGTGCGTTGCAGTATTTGAATACAAAAGATTTCGTTTTTTTCTCTCTAGTGGAAGATGTTTCTTCTGAAGGTTAATTCTGTTAATAATGTTAATTACGGTGTTTTAGCTCTTTCCACAAATCTCCGGATATCCGGCTTTTGGGATATTTTGAAGCTTACGAGATATTTTGAAAATATTAATATGTTTAGAAAAGTTTGGGATATTTAAATATTCATGACTATGACTGTATGTTGTGGGCTTAAATAGCCCTGTGTTTTCCTCGCAGATATTGTTTTTTTAAACAATACTCAGTTCTGTGCCAGAAACAGTCTAGTTCAAATTTTTCAAAATTTAGGCCTAGATGATGTAAAATCAATCAAAAATAAGAGATGTTTAAAAATCTTTGTGATATATTTAGAAAAAAAAACAAAAAAAACGAGGATCTCGGGATCGGAAATACAACATTGAGACCATATTTGCGGAAATTGAAATTAAGTGATGCTAATTCGCTATAGTTATGATCCTATGATTTATCGCTCGGTTAATTAAGACTTTTTCTCAACAAATAAAGAGTTATTGGACTGCGGTTTTCATGCTAGGGGACTGCTTTTTACAGATTTCATATAATTTGAACTTTGTCCAGATACGGACAGACTTATTTGTTGTTGGTTGAAAAGTCATCAAATGTTATCCTGAATAGGCCTTATTACAGTGTTTGTATGGGAATCCGATGGCAAATAACTTTTTTTTTTTTTTTTTAAATTGAATTTTACACAATTTGTGAATCGCAGCGTTATTAAAATACTAGGTAGAAGATTGTATTCACCAAGTTTGAAGGATGTAGCTTGGCTAGAAGACGTTCAGATTTTTCTAATTTTCCATACATTTGTCTGTAATTTTGTTCCCCGCGAACGGCGTCTACCCAGCCAAACAAATTTATGGAAAATTAGAAAAATTCACTGAGCGTCTTCTAGCCAAGCTGCATCCTTCAACTAGGCTTAGTTTCCAATAACGTTGCGATTCACAAATTGTGTAAAATGAAATTTTGGAAAAAGTTATTTGCCATCGGATTCCCATACAAACAATGTAATTTCTGACCCCTTTGCCTACCCGTCAAGATGGCGTCGAAAACCGTGATAAGGCCTATTAAATGAAGAAGCCAATGGAGTTTAACTGTTCCCACGGTTAACAGATATCACAAAGAGAATGTGCGAGCAGTTGTTTTTTCTGGTTTTGCCAGTAACTAGAGTTGTCGTGTTGCTGTTCTTTGGCTAGTGCTGCTTCACAAAACTGATTTCCTTCGATTTGAGATAATGCATTTTAAATTTTACTGCGCCGTTATAGGCTTCTTGTTATGAATAAGAACAATTCTGAGTTTTGAACTTTGTTTTTGTTGCAAGTAAACGTAGCCTGCGTCGCAGACAGTCTAACCGAGGATTTTGTGACACGTCCTTGTCAGTTTTTCACGCCCGAGAGGTTGCAAATAAAACTGACAAATCAGTGACTGTTGTTCCCACGGTCAGAATAACGAAACAAGAAGCTATCTGTACGTCCAGAATTTATCGACGTTTCTTTTAGTGTGTTTTCTGCAGTAGTTAATATCTTGCATTCATGAAAATAATTCAAAAAGGGGATTTTAAGCACATTTTTTTTGCCACAAGGTTTGTAGTATGGAAACTTTAAATATTCCTGGAGACTTTGAGGCGACACAGCAGTGGTTCTATCGTTTTGAGACAGTTTCCTTGGGCGATTAATAGCGGAGGTACACTTGAGTCATTCGTAAATAGCCTTATTTTTTGATGTTGCAAGATTGGACATAGACAACCACGGTTGAGGCAGTCTCTCTTGGCTGTTTAGCATAGTGTAATTTTAATGAAATTATGATAAAGAATTCCAAAAACGAAGCGCGCGAAGTCTAAAAATAGAATGAAAATTGTTGGAACCCCGCGAGAGTCAGACAACATAAGCGTGTTCTGGGAGAAACAGGAGGAAAATGAACGCCAAATTTTCGTTTTAAAAATAGCTTTAGGAACACTTCCTTATGCGCTTGAAAAAGCGTCAAACCGTCCACCATTCCGTTTAGTTTGTCTGAGTTTGTCTGAGTTATGACGTTACTCGCGCGCTTCGATATTTCGAAATACAGTTAAAGACTGTAATGTACATTTAAAGTATCCACGTTGTCATCTAAGGAATTCAATTGATAGATATGTGAAGTGAAATTTCCTTTGTTTTAAAATAACAGGTACTATGACTTGGAAAATATGGCTCATATGAATAAGCAAAACGACCCCGGAAACAGGTTTTTTTTACCATCTTCCCACTTTACCGTGCATTGGGACATCGACATTGCCAAGAAATGTAATCTGTGGCATCTGTGTTTCACAAGTGTTTTTTTAACTGATCACGTGACTTCCAAGTATGTTTGTGACTATAAAATGGCGAATGGGTCTGCAATGCAGCGAACATGGGTAAATGGCGGTTAATATTAGATGATGGGGAAGGCACAATTTTCTTTGGAGCCACACAGGAATCTTTCCTTTATTGCCTGGATCACAGCCATGCAAAAAAGAACAGCAGCAACATTAACAGAAAAGATCTCGCTTGTATTACTCCCACCACACCCCTGTTTTCACACTCATTTCTTCGACCTGTTTCAATGTTGCCAACTTTTTTCCCTCCACACACACACTGTACCCATTTTCGAATCAACAACAGTTGACGTATTGTCTTCGTTTATAATTTGGCAATATTTATTCCGTCTTGTAAAACGATGGTCAAAAACAGCATGTCTTTGCCAGATGAGTTACTTATATGTGGCAAGATCAAAGGCGATTTGCCAAATTTATTCCAGAAATGATTTATTAAACATCTGGCGTGTTTTAAGAACGCCTTTTTATCAGTTTACCGGTTACTCCTTTATATCTTTGCAGCTTGAGTATCCAACATGGGCCTTCTCGCTTTGGGTACTCCTCTTACATGGTCTGAGACAAAACAGTACGCAGATCATGTTCGGAAACACGGTATACTGCAGTTCCTCCACATCTACAACAAGCTGAAAGATCGCGAGAACGACTGCTTAAAGTGGGGAGACGAGGTAAATTGATAAATTGATGTATTAAATCGGCAAATTGATGTATTTAATCATTTTTCTAATGCATGCAGTAGATCTTCGCAATCCTATGAGAGTGAGTAAAATTAAGGATTCCACGGACAACGGATTCGTCAAGTGACTCAAGTTTTCGAGAATGTGTTTGCCGAAATTGTAGACATTTCCGCAAAAAATGTCTAAAATGTCTTAATGTCTTCTGTTCTTAAATTAATCTATTGTTATCGTTCGTATCCTGGATTGGATTCGTCGAGTGAGGCGAGTACTTGCGCTAATAGAAATAAGAGATAGTTTAAGCAATTACCGCGGCGACCCCGAGAACAATGTCTAGTAAAAAAATGAATTTATATTTTACCTTCGAATTTCGTTCAGTGCGCCTATTGGTCTCAGAACTTGCTAAAGCTAAATATGTAACGCCTGGCCAGCATTCAATTCCAAATGAAAATATGAAAAATTAGCCGCCGTCGTTCGCGTTCTCCAAATACGCAGAACGTAGTCATTTCATGTTGTTGTTTTTCAGAGGACGGCAAAGAAATTGTACAAAGATTTATGACGCTCGTGCATAGCCATTGTTCTGTTCATTAAAACTTTTGTTTGGTGATGT